TGTGCCCGTGCCTGTGCCCGTACCTGCGCCCGTACCTGCGCCTGTTTCCGCACCTCTTAGTCAACCTACTGTCATCACCAGCCAAACGCCGCCGCCGCCACTCATTGGGACTCCCTACGCCGTGAGAGACACGTACCGTGCTGGCACTACGAACGTAGGTATTTCCATGACGCGGACCACACACACGTACACACATATGTATGTACATATATACATATATATATAAATAGGCGCGCGCGCGCGATATACTCCTCGCCTCCTTTTCCTCGGAGTCTATCAACAGTTTCCGATATGACTTCGCGATGCGTTGAACGGTCACGGTCATGCAAACGCCCGGGAGTGAGAAAGATTCTTTTTTTTTCTGATGTTGCACTAAGATGCACCGAGATCATGGTACATGAGAAAGAGTAGCGAGACGCTGAAGCTTTATGTTCAAGAAAATAAGAGATTGCTTCTTTCAATGTCTATGTTAATGTTATCTTAATAGATACTTCAATATTGAGCTGAACAATCGCGTGGCTAGGTCATTTTCGATCCTTTGTTGAAAAGACTTTATTTTTAAGTATATCACAATTATATTTTTAGTCTTTTCTTTTGCGATTGTTTTTTTTTATTCTAACTTAAGACTGCTGCTCTGACTTAAATAATCTTTTCTTTTCAGCAACATTCGAATAGAATATTTTATTTTCCTTATTTTAAGTTATGTATTTTAAAGAATTAAATAAGAATTTTTATACAATTTGTTAGATGTCGTATGTCTAATTGTTAATACTTGGATAAATTTAGTATAGGAATAACGGGATAGAGATTAATATTAATTCATAACATCAGACGCTAGACTAATTGGAACACGCGTCGCGTAACGCAATCGCACGCATACCATATCGCTCGACCCCGTCCTTGACTTTCACCGATTATCGGCCCTCTTCCTTTTTTCCCTCCCTTTTAACAATATGATCGCGCGTGTCTGACACTCAACAGTTTTAAATATGCCATATTATTTGCCCAACACAGATTTATACAACCACAAGTGTCATTGAGATATGATTATAGAACTATACAAATAAATAAATATACAGAATAAAATTAGAATAAAAGTGTGAAATATATAAAGGACGATATTAAGAGAACGAGATAGATATTTTAAGCAATGATATACAAGATATTTCTCTCTTTTCTCTTCAATGTATACATATCCAACTGAATCGTAATTGGTGTATTTTATTTATAAAGTAGTCAAACTTTTGTAAAAGATATCTTTTCCAAGATTTTGAAAGTTTAATTATTCAAAAAATTTAAAAATGACGATGTAATGTCTTTCAGTATCTATTTATATTACAGTTAATTTTTATGAGTCTTAAACCAAGTTAAATTCACGGCATAACGCAGTTCTAACGGACATTATCATATTTAACTTGTAGCACGATACGAGTAGGCGGGAGAAAGTTACATTCGCCTACTCAGACTAGGCATACACGCATGTTACACGCACACAAGAATACCTCATCTTATTTTACTTGTTTTTTATATATATTTCGAGTCGATTATTTAGTTGCCTACTCATAGAGTAATTTCTTCAGAATCATTGTACGGTCGAGATCACGAAGTTCAATAGTACAAAATTGTCTACGCGAATCGCCGGAATGAACTACGACATGCGAATGAGCCAACATCGTAACGCAAAACCACCGGTAGAAATGAAAGGAGGGAAAAAAGTTTGAACAAATGATTGCAGTAGACAGAACGTAGGGGACAGAGCAGCGGTCGCGTGGTATATCGGTACCGCGTGTTTTCTTGAACCGGGTCATCGATTTTCCTGAAATAGTTTCTCCAACGAGAAGGTTAGAGAGGTGCGGGAGATAAATTGAACCTCTGGCAAAGAATGAGTGAAACGACGATGAAAGGGGAGAGCAGGCAAGAAAGAGGGATGGAGGAAGAAAGGAAGCATGTAGAGTAAACTTTTGACCGTGATGTTTTCTTTTCAGGTGAACGAGAGGCTTGCTATCAACGTGAACAGTCCTCTGTCGCAAGTTGGTGGGGTTGGCGGTGTCGGGGTAGTGCCTGCGGCGGAATATAGCAGCATGGGAGCCGGTAGCAGAGGCGATCGGCAGAGGATATCCCTCTTGCCGCCTGTCGGTTCGTCGGTAACGTCTATACCATCGCCTTCTGCTGCCGCCGCCGCATCGGATTACCAGCAACATACGACGGCGACAAGGAATCCGCCGCGAGTAGGCCTCATGCCCGTCCAGCCTGATCAGTATTGCAGTCGCACCCCCGTCGACATGTCCAGTCTGCAACAGGATGCGCCACCTTTCAAGAAGATCCGTCTAGGGCCACATCAGCAGATTCAGCAGCTGCAATCGCAGCCTCAGCCGCGTTGCCTGTCACCCGCGGACCCATGCGGAGGCAAGCAAGAACAACAGCAGCATGTTGTGCAGTTGCAACAGCCACTTAGGATAGACACCAGGGTGGGTAGAATGTACAATCTGCTCGATAATCGAGAGATTAATCTGTGTAACTGAAGGGAGTCGTCTATCCATTTGATATATTCATTGCCGATAATAAAAATCAGTTTTATTGTCATTAATACAAAATTACATTTTAGATTTAATTCACTATTTAGTTAGGATTGTCTCATGTTTACACAGTATCATCTGTTTATACTGTTGAAAATCAAAACATTGAAATAATAGTATTAATTTTCGCGAGATTGTATTAAATAAATAAATCAGATCGCAATTAATTACACAGTATGGGATGTAAATTGAGATTAATTTACATTTTCAGAGAATAACTATATATAAATATAAATAAATTAATGTGTAACTAAATATAGAATGATTTATAAATGCATATCAATACTTTAGATTAAATGGATACTTAAGCAAACAAATAAATAATATAAACATAGATTGAATATACGAAAAACAATGAAATGAATAAGTTGAACACAAAATGATATGACGAATTTTTGCTAGGAGCAGCCTGCCGTGGGAGCGTATACGCCACAAACAGAAGCTATTTCGCCTACGCTTCCAGAACCGAGTACGCAAGAGGATGCACAATATAGAAGTACTAAGGACGATCTTCTGCAGCAAATTGGCAAGGTTGACAGGGAGATCGCTAAGAGGGAGAATCAGTTAAATATGTTGCGAAAGAGGTTAAAAGAATTAGAAGAAACAGCGAATAAGCCTCTGGAAGTAAAAGACACTGAGGAACAGTCACAGCAACCAAAGCATCAATCGATGGCGCAAAAGGTTTACGCTGAGAATAGGGTAAATTATGTAAATAATAATTAAGTACTTTTATATGTTGAGCACCAAGAAAACATTTGACTTGAATCTGAATACTTGCATGTATCTTTTGTGCTGTGTGTTAACATAAATTGCTTTTATTTGTATCACCAAAATATTAGTTGATTTTAACATTTGAAGCGTACAAAAAAAATAGATAATTAATGAATTAAATTTTAATTTGATATATTTTAATTAACAGAGAAAGGCGGAAGAAGCTCATAGACTCTTAGAAAGACTGGGCCCCAAAGTAGAACTACCTTTATATAATCAACCGTCGGACACAAGTGTATACCAAGAAAATCGTACACGGCATCAGACGTGTATGCGTGCCAGACTTATAGCTAGGCTTCGGAGAGAACACGCTGAGCGCGCGTCTCTTCATCGGCAGCAGTCACAAACGTACGCAATTTTGGTTCAAGAATGGCATCGTAAGGTGGAACGGTTAGAAGCAACGCAGAAGAGGAAATCGAAGGAAACAAAGAATCGCGAGTTCTTCGAGAAGGTATTTCCCGAGTTGCGAAAACAGAGGGAAGATAAGGAGCGTTTTAACAGAGTTGGTGCTCGTATTAAGAGTGAAGCCGATCTTGAAGAGATAATGGACGGTCTACAAGAACAAGAGGTATATTCTATTACTGTGGTATGTGTTTATAAATAAATGGTCATGAAATGAGCGACGTGATATGTTATGAAGAGAGAATTAAAAGTATGATTGAAAGCAAAAAGGTGGTATGGGAAGAAGCAAAAAAAAGGCACGTTACTAAATTGGTGTACATTAAATATACATCCTTTGATAATTACAAACTGAAATAAAATAAAGGGGATTTTAAACAATTAATTAATAAATGAGAGAGTTAAGAGACACTCATTTAATTTTATTGAATTAGCGATATGCAACTTACAAAATAAAATAAAAATTATTTTGGCGTGCAAATCTGTAGCCTATTGTTATAGATAAAGCTATTTGTCTGTTCAAATATATATCATATACACATTTAGAGGATGACGTATTAGAACAATTTAAGCATAATATAGAATAAAATATATTTATAGAGAACTGATTAATATTAATTTTGAGTGAATTTAAAAAATATTTTTATACAATTTTCTTTTTGTCATAATTTATTTTTTTTTAGCAAATAATTATTGTGAGAAAGATAATAAATAATACACGTAGCAAAACAGCTAACTTACATATGCTAAAGGCAAATCTAACCTTTGCTCTATCAAGTTCTTGATACTTATAAATATGAAATATACGCGAGTAGTAATCTAATATCTAATTATAGTATTCTTGATATAGCGAAGATTAGATATATAATTTTCTTTTATACTTTTTATGGATTTTGTCTCATCTCTTTCTTTATTCTCCCAAGAGCAATTCTGTGAAAGAACCATTTTCACATCAAAGGATTAAAGAGAGTTGATTTTAAGGAAAAGATGGTAACTGACAGTTTCTTCCTATCTTTAGACATTTGTTTTCTCTCTTGGTCTTCTCGTGTATGCTGACCAGGGAAAGGATGGCAAACTGGATAAATGGATGGAGATGATTGGAAGTTACCATCGGACTAATAGACGCGCGAGATAATAAAGTTTTAATTAATTCAGATTCATGATGCTCAAGTAGAAGTTTCACAAATTTTTTCAATAAAATATCCCTCTTTGCAGTTGATGACATTACATTAAATATAATATTTAAACCAATATTTTGCGATTAATATTTCATTTAATATTTCTTTTGAAAAAGCATTGTTTTAAAAATATTCTTTATTTTTGTGTTTCTTGCGTTTTCTTTTTCATTAATTTTTGCTAGATAAATTCTTATGATGATACTTCATGGAAGACATCTAATTTATACTGATTCCCCAGGAAGAAACATTGCAAGATTTAAAAAATTCCATTAAAGCTTGTCAGGTTAGTAACGTGCGCTTGCTTCCTTCACCCTTACCTCGTACCATATGGATTGTATTCTATAAATTGGCTGCAAAAAATATATTAAATCGGTAAATTAAAATTATGCTAGCTTAATGTAACAACTGAAAAAGCAATATTAAATCCATTATTATTGCTAAAGTATAGTTGGGTATTATATGTATATTTCTTTATTATATATAAGTCTTATTATTTACATATAAAAACATTGAAATCTATATTTTATTTTAAATAAAGTATACCATTTACATACATATATCAACATGTTTTATCAGTATACAGCCAACTTATTGTAATGATATTTTTTATATTAAAAACTATTTAAAGCTTCATTAAAAAGAGCAATGGGTTATGGATATACATTGATTTTATCTTTTAATATTACAAACATTACATTAATATTACAAAGAAATAATTGATATATTGAAAATGACATTATTTTCGACAGATGGAGGATAAGAAGATGCGTTCGTATGCAGTCATACCGCCTTTATTATTGGATGCGAAGCAACGAAGGATCGCGTTTCAAAATCGGAATGGATTGCTCCAACCAGAAGAATTAGAAGCTCTTCACAGTGAACGTAAATTGATCAATGTATGGAGTTCGGTGGAGCACGAATTATTTAAAGAGAAATACCTTCAACATCCTAAGAACTATGGAGTGATAGCTCAATCGTTAGAACATAAGTCCGTTCCAGATTGTGTACATCACTACTACCTCACTAAAAAAGCAGAAAATTATAAACAGCTTTTACGAAAATCGCGCCAACGGACACGTAGCTCTCGGAATAATCCGAATAATAAAGTAAGTGATATCAGTTCGTCCATGATGTATATAAAAAGGCGTTAATTATTTTTTTAAATTTTAAAATTATTGATTTATGGAAATGAAATAGTGTTTTACGCGTGCGCACACAGAAACACTGTATCTGTATAAATA